GGGGAGTAGATATCTCTGCAGTGCCTTTTGGTTTCTCGGTATAATCGGTGGTAACTGGTAACCGCTATCCGGTTACCCGATTAATTGGTTAGAAATCGGTACGGGTTGTCGAGCCCCATTTTGGCGCTACCGGTATACCATTAACAGTGTAGTTGGTTACCGGTTTAATCGGTAACCGATCGATTATTAGTCCTCCCTACCCTCCGCCACTCTACCCCATTCCTCTCTCTCTCTCTCTCTCTCTCTCTCTCTCTCTCCAATAGATCGATGGAGAAATTTTCATCACAATCCGTTGGTAGGATTTCATATCTTGATTTTTGTATCGCTATGTATTTTTCATATTGGTATTAATTTTTTTCGTAATGGTATTATTTTTTCGCATTGGTATTGATTATCAAATTTTGGTAGTGATGTTACTGTATTGATAGTGTTCTTCATATTTTGTATTAGTTAAATCTGAAATGGTATTGGTTAATAAGTGGTATATGTTGTTGTTGTGTTTTTATGTTTTGATATTAATTTCTTATTTTTTTATCTATAATGGTGTTGGTGTTTTTTAGAATTGGTAGTGGTTGATTAATAGATTGGTATTGTTTTCTTGTTTTATTTTGGGTAATTTCTATATATTACCCAACCCTTTTCCATATTCCTTTATTTTATCCAAACCTATTGGAATACTATTTATTAACCAAACGTATTGTAACTGATCAAAGTCTGGGCATTCATTCTGTTACGGTTAATTATATACTAACGGATTTCGATGTCACCATCCACATCAGCGTCCACGTTAGAAATTAAAAAAATAACAAAATAAAAAATCATAAAAAATGGCAAACTAATCTCTCCTCCCCCGGCGCTCCCTTCCCCTTCAAAATTTTCATTTGCTCCGCCATCGTGGATCTGGCTCAACATCGTTGCCTTGAAATCGTTCTACGACTTCACATCGAACAGCACGGCGAAGTACAACAAATTCAAGAGATCCCCAACCATGGAATCACAACTTTCGAGCTGACTCCCCTCCTCTTCTTCTTCTTTGTCCTCAACCTCACCAATCTTCTCCTCTTCCACGGCCACATTAGTGGGTTAAGACTCGGTGCGGTGTCGTTCAATGGCCAGCTCGATTTCCTCGGAGATGGCGACCGAGAGAGGCACACAGGCGCTTGTTGATTAGAATGAGGATGGGGGTTGTCGGCTAATTCAGGGACGGGAGTGACTCACAGGGACGGAACATGCCACCGGTACAAGGCGGAGCAGGGGTGTAGATGTGGTGGCAGCGGAGGTGGCGTAGTTGGGGAAAGAGGGAGGAGTGGGGGAGAGGGAGAGGGAGAGGAAGCGGCGAAGAAGATTGGAGAAGAAGAATCGGGGGGAGAGAGTGGGGTTTAATATTTGATTGATTGATTCTTTTTTTCAAAATTATTTTTAATAAAAAACAGAAATGGTCCCCACTGCCACGTCGGCTTCTAACTCAGACTGGTGCAACTGAGTCAACAAATGTAACGGAATAGCTAATGGAGGGGTAACAGTTGGATAATTAATAGTATTTCGATAGTTTGGATAAAATAAAAAAAATCTGAAAAAGGTGGATAAAAATAGGCATTACCCTTTTATTTCTACAGTGGTATTCAATCGGCTGAAAAAACAAAGAAAAAACTGAGGAAAAAAAAGAAAGAAAGAGAGATATGGCTGGAGATTGTGGGAGTGACAGAAATTACAATTAATATGTTTTATAACTTCCTAAAATATAATTTAATAATTATGAAGCAGTAATCACCATAACCGCTCCCACGGAATTTCAATCTTTGGTATAAAAAAATGCGTCCAACGCTAAAGAAAAGTATCCTAGCCCAGTCCCGCCTTCACCTACGTCTTAGTCTCTGCATGTCTCCTCCGAATTTCGTGAAGTGGCATTGGAGTCGATCAGTAAATAGGTAGGGGTAAAAAATGGTAAGGAGATAGGATCGTCGGTGGAAACCAACTAAACAAATAAACCACATTGCTGCGAGGAGAGGATAGTAGGGATGCCAATTTGAACTCGCACCGCCGGGTATGACCCAACCTGACCCGCGATGGGGCGCGTACTACCCGACCCGCAATAGCATGGGGCGGGGCATGGGTATCAACTTCCGACTAGCCTGCCCCATTCTTGGCCCGTTCTAGGTCAATTTTTTACGCCATCCATTCATTTATCTCATTTTTTCAATTCCTTGCATCCTAGATTCACCATAGAGACTTCTTTCCTTTTGTTTCTTCCTCTTGGAACTGTGACAATGATTTGTGTCCCTCTTTGCAGGTCCTGGCGACGCAACTCCAACAATGGAATAAAAATACTTTGGGAATATCTTTCGCAAGAAAAAGCATCTCCTTAACAAGCTCAACTCACTGGAATTTCTCAACGAAAGGTCCCCAACCAGACAGTCGATTGAGAAAGAAGGAAGAGTTAGAGAAGAGCTTCAAGAAACTCAGTGGCAGGAGAAGATCCTTTGCCTCCAAAAGTCTAGAGCAAACTGGATCTTGCACGGGGATCAAAATACCCGGTTTTTCCACAATAGTAATTTGAGCACAAGGAAAAGAAACATAATCTTGGGTCTGAAGGGAGACAAAGGGGAATGGGTTACTGATCCTGTTGTGCTTCTAAACATGGCAAGGAACTTCTTTGTTACTCTCTTCACAAGAGAAGAAAAGGAAAATTGGCCTAGCATTGCTGCTGAGTTCCAATAACTGGACGCCAATCGGATGAACCTTATGGGTGTCGTTCCAAGCTTTGAGGAGATAAGAAGTCTCGTCATGAACATGAGCAGCCTGAAAGCTCTTGGGAAAGACGGGTATCAAGCTTTGTTCTTCCAGAAGTGTTGGGATTTGGTTGGGCACGATTTCTACATATTTGTGGTGGATTTCTTTAGGGAACCAGAAAGGATTCGACGGGTGAATGGGACACTCCTTGCACTCATCCCCAAAACTAAAGCTCCAGCCATGGTGAGCCAATTCAGGCCAATTAGCCTCTGCAACATTGACTACAAAGCGGTGACAAAATGCATTGCCAACATACTTAAACCTCTTATTCCCTTCCTCATCAACCCTAATTAATCCAGTTTTGTTCCCAAGAGACAGATTACTGATAACATCCTGATTTTGTAGGAAACTATCCACAACATGAGGAACAATAGTGGAAGGAAAGGGTTGATGCTCATCAAAATTGATCTTGCCAAGGCGTACGATTGGATTGACTGGAGGTTCTTGGAGAACACAATTTGTGAGGCTGGCATTCCTAAGAGTTGCATTAGAATCATCATGGCTTGTGTCACTACAATGGAGATGCAGGTCCTTTGGAATGGTGGAGAAACATACACTTTCATCCCCAGCAAAGGATTACGTAAGGGATGTCCCTATTCCCCAAACCTTTTTACTTTATGTATTGAACGCCTAAGCCACTGCATCAATAGAGAGGTTAGGGAAAAGAGATGGAACCCTATGAAGCTTTTTGCAAATGGTCCACCACTATCTCATATATTCTTTGCAGATGATCTAGTATTGTTTGCAGAAGCTAACATTAGGCAAACGAACTGTGTTATGAGCTGTCTTGATGCATTCTATGAGGCCTCAAGGGAATTCATTAGCAAGGAGAATTCTAGAGTTTTTTCTCTAAGAATACTAAGAATGAGGTCAAGAAGGATATTTGTGATAGGTTGGGTATCTAGTCTACTCTTGATATGGGAAAGTACATCGGTGTCCCTGTCCTCTATGGTCGAATTAACAGAAATACCTATCGATTTGTTCTTGATAAAATCGACCAAAAACTTACTGTTTGGAAAGCTAAAACCTTGTCCTTAGCAGGGAGAGTCACTCTTGCTACTTCTGTTCTGAATGCTATTCCTTCTTATGCTATGCAAACCACTTTGTTTCCTGCCTCTATGTGATGTTATTGATCGTAAGATTAGATGGTTTGTTTGGGGTTCACAACAAGGCAGACGGAAAACTCATCTTGTTTCATGGGATAATGTTTGTAAACTGAAGGATCAGGGAGGGATTGGGCTAAGATCTACTAGAAGCTTAAACCTTTCCTATATGATTAAACTTGCTTTGATGATATTTAACAATGAGTCGGCCCTTTGGGTGCAGGTTATTCTGGGGAAGTATTTCAATTGCAAAAATAGGGAAATTGTCTCAATGAAGAAGAGTAACCACTCTCCTCTGTGGAAAGCAATTTTGAAGGTCATGCTACTGATGAAAAGGGCATCCACTTGGAGCATTCGCGATGGAAAGACAATGAACTTCTAGAAGCATCATGGCTTGACTATGGACTTATCCTATAGGACCACCTGCTTAGGAGTATCTCAGAAGAGGAAGAAGACTCACGCGTTGCAGACTAGACCACTCATACCAATGAATGCAACTGGAATAGACTGAAAACCCTCTTACCGAATGGCATTCTCTTGTTGATTGTAGGAGCCAAAGCACCAAAGCTGGAGTTGGGTGAGGACAAAGACATTTGGTGTGTCGAGCGAGATGGAAGGTTTCGTTTGAAGTCTGCCTACAAACTTGTTGCTGACGAAATTGAAGATGAAGCTAACCCAGCTTGGGAAGACTTGTGGAGATGGAAAGGGCCACTTAGAGTGAAGTATTTCTTCTAGCTTACTACGCACAACCGCCTACCCACCAACAAAGAACGTGAGAAGAGAAATCTTACCACAGACAACAGTTGTCCACACTGTAGAGGAGAAGATGAAACACCAGAGCACATTCTCGGACGCTGGAGGAAGAGGGAATTCAGGAGCATTTCTTCAACATGTGAACTAGGATGCATTGCATCCCGTCTTCTACCCAAAAAAAAAATAAAGGGAAATGGCAACGAAATGGCGATGAGTTCTAACAAGCTGGGCTAAGTTAAGATCTTCAAAAGCCCATATTAGAGGGTAGATTCTTTGGATGGTTACAGAAGCAAGTAATCCAGCTTTAGCCCGGCCCATTATCAAAACACAAAAATTGACAAAAAAAAAAAAATAGCCACGGCCACCGGAGTACCGACGCCGTTGTGAATTGCGCTAGCTAAACCGCTCCGCTACTGCAAAAGCTGGAGCTGGATACTAAGAGCAGAGCAGTGAGCTGAGCGCAGTTGGGGAAACCACCAAACCTCATTCCGTTGGCCGCTCTTTAGCCATTGGTGCCAGATAGAAGGGCACTGCTTCTTCTTTTATCTTGCCGTGCCGGAGTGAGAGCATACCTTCCGCCGCCTTGTTTTTTTACCTCGCCTGAGATCTGTCCATTTCGATTCTTTCTCTTCCGGTTTGGGAAGAATGGAGTACCGCAAAATCAAAGACGAGGTATGTTCATTTGTCCTTTTCCCCATCTCCATCTCCCATTTCACGCATCGCCACTGGGCGGCGATCAATCTTGTGATCCAGTTAGCTGTCAATTCTTCTCTGTAAGCTTGGTTAACGCATGATTGAATCTCACTGAAGGACCAACCTGATTCGGGCCCTGTTGATGGCGACATTGAGAGTTCAAGAGGCAAATCTCCTGGTAATCGTTGCAAGTCTAAATTCCCCCCTTCTAACTTTGTTTCTTTCGTGTAAAGAACTGAATCGTTTCCTCGCTCTGGAACTGAATCTTGTTATTGCAGCTCCAATCAGTAGTAGTATTGCTGCGCTTGGAGCTGGTCCGCAATGGAAGCGCAAGTAAGTGAATCTTGTTAGTTTCCTGCTCACCTGGAACCTCTAATAGCCCATTCTCTCTCTCATGCTACTTCTCATATGCTTTGTTTCCGTTTCTGTGAATTTGCAATAGGACGATCGTCACCTTTGCATTGACTTTTCTTACAAGTTCACAAGCCATTCTCATCGTCTGGTCTAAAAGAGCTGGCAAGTATGAGTATAGTGTCACCACTGCGAATTTCCTGGTGAGCCTCTTTGCATTCTCCAGCTCTGAATGATGGGGTTATGTTAAACAAACCTTTGCCCTCATTTTTATTAATGGTCTTGGTCTTCCTGTTAGGTGGAGACACTGAAATGCTTTCTATCGCTTGCTGCCTTGGCTAGAACCTGGAAAAATGAAGGCGTTACAGAAGATAACAGGTGACCTTTTCGAGGTTTTCTCGTTTCCATTCCGGTGTCTGTCTAGCTTAGTAGGAATGTAGATGAGACTCAAATAGTTAGTGGGCAGATGGATGCCCTCCTAATATGCTATCACCGTTTGCTACTTAAACCTGCATATTCTATCCCATGTTTGCCATGTGATGATGGTTGAGGTTAAGGTAGCCACATATGTGTTTTCTTAAGTGTGAGTCTGTAATTTTCGTCTCTCTACCAGGTTGAGTACAACAATCAATGAAGTGAGCGTTTACCCTATTCCTGCTGCACTCTACCTGGTCAAAAATTTGCTTCAGGTGAGCTCTAGTTTGCTTGCTCTGATTAGCATGTACAAGGCCATTTGTTTATCAAAACTTACTGTATGTAACTTTGATTTTTTTTTTTGTGGCAGTATTATATCTTTGCCTATGTGGATGCTCCGGGTTATCAGATTCTGAAGAACCTTAACATTATCAGTACTGGTGTGTTGTATCGAATGATACTTAAGAGAAAGTAAGTTTTAAACCATTCATGCTGGATGAATTTTTTTCTTGGAATATGGTTTTGGAAGTGTACCAACAATCCAACATATATATATATGATGATTTTTAACAAACAGCTCTCAAGGTTTACGATATCATTGTTTGCAGGTTAAGTGAGATCCAATGGGCAGCCTTCATTCTTTTGTGTGCTGGGTGCACCACCGCCCAACTGAATCCTTCGTAAGACTGATCACTCTGCATTTCTACTTAAAATAGGTCCACAGATCTGAAATCAATCTGCATTTCTACTTATTAGCATCAGTATTTCACTCTGATGAACTTCTGGTATCTGTTTTAACATATTGAAATTCCTCCTTTCTTTTCCTCTCGAGGGTTGCAGTTGTTGTTTTTAAAAGCTAATCACTTCTATCTATAGATAGCAGAACTTGCTGGCCTCATGTATTTGCTGTAGTTCAGAATGTTCTTTTTTGTCAGTGATATTGCAGGGTTTGGTTGAATGTTTCATCCCCCATTACAGCCAGATCAACCTTAGGGTGTGTAATTCAGAATATTGATTTCATTAAAATAATCCAAGCGGCAACATATTTGATTTTGTAGGTCTGATCATGTTCTTCAAACCCCTTTCCAAGGTTGGATGATGGCCATTGTAAGTTTTTCAATTCCAGTTACCAGGGATTTGCTATACAAGTACATAATTTTGGTTGCTAACATGATCACATTGTAGGTAATGGCACTCTTAAGTGGTTTTGCTGGAGTATACACTGAGGTAAACTCAAGTTCTAAATTAGTTTATCATTGATTATCATGTTTGGTTACTATATGCCATATTGTCAACCCTGCTTTAAGTCTTAACTGTAGCTTACACCTGGTTGTTTGCCATTGGAGAAACAGCAGCGACCCAGCATTTTGTTAGCTCTGACTAGTTTGCGTATATCATTGGCAGGCCATAATGAAGAAGCGTCCCTCAAGAAATATAAATGTGCAGAATTTCTGGTTATATGTTTTTGGTATGGCTTTCAACGCTGTTGCAATATTGATCCAGGATTTTGATGCAGTCATGAACAAGTGAGTTTCATATTTGAGTTTCTATGTTCTTAGTAAACCAACCTGTAAGGATTGTGTTATATTGCTGTAGCAAACTTTGGGACTTCTTCATTTTGACTTATACTATGGTCGCAAAATGAATTTCCAGGGGATTCTTCCATGGATACTCATTTGTTACTGTTCTCATGATTCTCAACCATGCACTAAGGTATCTGGGCTCTCCCTTTAGCAGTATATCTAATTAGGTTTGAGTGCTTAATGTTTACTGCTTCTATTTTGTATGCAGTGGGCTAGCAGTGTCCATGGTCATGAAGTATGCAGACAACATTGTAAAGGTGAAACATACTCGTCGCCCTTGAGAATATGATGTCTGAATATATGAGCATGCATCACCATCCTTCAGCTTCTATAGAATAAGTCACTACCGTTTGATTAGGGGACCTATTTCCCCTAACCATGATGCATGATCTGACGGATAGAGAGCAGTGAGTTTGGCATATTAAATCCGGTAACGTGGAAAATTGATTAGGGGGCCTGTTTCCAGGATTCCTGGTACAGTATTCACTGCCTGCTAGTGAAGTCATTAAGAGGTTGCATACATTAGAACAAGTTATCGTGATATTAAATGAGCATTTCAAAATGGCCGTCTTTGTCATTTATAATAACCAAAACTAGTGGTCAGAGCAAAGAAAAGAAAAGCGTTGTTAAGTACTACAGGCGTGATGACAGTTACTGAAACCATTCCTGAAACTGCAGGTGTACTCTACTTCAGTGGCAATGCTTCTAACAGCAGTTGTCGCGGTGTTTCTGTTTGGCTTTCACCTCTCGCTTGCCTTCTTCCTTGGCACAACGTAAGCTTCTCTGCCTGGCTGATGAATTGATGAATCTCTTGGAATGCATTTGTTTGTTTCTTGTTGATTTAGTAATAAATGATAATTTTTCATTGGTTGATTTGTTATTAATCTCTGTGCTGTGCTCCAGTGTCGTCTCTGTGTCCGTTTATCTGCACTCCGCTGGAAAGCCTCCAAGATAGTGAAATAGACGACCAAAGCAACATCCCTCTCGCGAAAATGGCCTCTGCAGAAAGATGCATTTTGAGATACTTACTGGCTGATTGTTCTTCTCCTTGGTTTAGATTGCCTTTCAGTCACAGAGATTACAGCAAGTGGAAACCACGACTCAAAAGTATCAGATATAGATTTTTGATGGCTTTTGTTACTTGAAAATACACCACCTCTCATGTTGTAATTGGAATTCAACATCCTGCGATCTCTTATAATAGAATAGAGTAGCTTCCATTATTCAGTTTCCAAGATTTCCTTTCTGTAGTTTTACAAAAGTATGCAACCGCAATACAATCAATTCATTACAACGCCGATCAAAAGCCAAAGTTACATACGCCTTCTTCCCCCCTTTTCGCCATACCTTACATAATGAATATGAAAGCTTTAACTGGTACAATAACAGTACTTTTAGGAGCTATTTTAGCGCTTGCTCAAAAAGATATTAAGAGATGTTAATGGTTATTAGATCGGGAACGTACTTAAATTCAATGGCCAACCACAGTAACTCCGTTGTGGTGACATATGTCGTCATTATTTATACAATGCTAAATGGAGGTCGAAAGTGTACCCAGAGGTGTGCGTCAGGCGCAGCACAGCTCCTCTAAATGGACTGGGGACAGTCCACCCAGAAAAACAAACAAGAATCATGCTACTACTGCTACTGACTTGAGACCTCATTGTACTTGAAAACGCAATCATAAAGTCGTCCTCCTAGAAACTGAGCAACCTCTGGGTGTTTCACCTGCAGGATTCAATATACAAATCATGTCGATGAATCCTAAACCATCAATTTCAACACAGCGAAGATCCAAATCAAATACGTTAGCAACTTACCATCCCGATCTTGACAGAATCGCACTTGAACTGAGCATAAAGGTTGGTCTCTATACCACGACCCTGCAATTATTAGAAGCCAACATCACGCTTAACTGTCTGAAGCCTTCAAATTCGTCAATCACGTTTCTTTTTCTTTTTTCATTATTCTAGCACAACTGGGAAAAGCTTACCATGCCTTCCAAGACAACAAGATCTGCATCACTCGCCAAATATGCTAGCTCTTGGGACACACTTGCCAAATCAATAACCTGCAGAATGCCAAAGTGAAGAAGATAATTATCAGTAAAATGACAAAGCTAAAACACAACAATAGTGTAGTTCTTAATTGCTTACTGGTAAATCATTGCCAGAATTGGCAATCAGAAGATTTGAGGTATCCACGCCCTCGAGCATCCCCTTCTCATCCTTCAACTATAAAAAACAAGTTCATTATTAGGCCAGACAACCAAGAATCCAACATTTCCCCTAGCCTCCAATGTTCATTAACATACCTTTGATATAATCTCAATAAGCTCATGGTATGTGACATCATTGATTGACGGCAAGTCATTAGCAGCCAATACAACCTGGACACACATTCCATCCAAAAGTATGCTAAAAGTTAGAAAGCGGATAAACAATAGTTTATAAGTTAGACAGAGACGAGATCTTTTCATCACTTTTGTTAAGAGATTATGTTCACAATTCATGGGCATCTGCCATCTTACAAGCTTGACTGTGATTAATTGAACCTTATTGCGACTCCCAAAGCCAATCCCATGATAGAAATATCAACTGCTTAGCTTCTCTAGACACTTTTAAAATTAATGCTCTATATGCACGTTTACTTCAGATTTTAAAACAAATATAGGTTAATAGCATCTTGACTTCTCTGTCTTACAGACACAAATTCATTTAGTGACAGTCTTAAAGTAGGCTTCCAGATCAGAATTCACAAAACATTGTCTGACTAGGATTGTTTCTGAACTTCTAAGTTCTAACTAGCATAGCGGAAGTGTCCAACACATACAGCTAATAATCAAAGATATTCAATAAAAAGTCCTTAATTTGCGTTTAAATAAGAGAAACTTTTAGATTAAGAGGCACACCTGAGTTCCACGTCGAAGTAGTTCTCTTGCAAAAGGCAAAATACCTAGGATTATATCTGCACCTGAATTATCGACAAAGATGATAGCCTGAAATAAGAAAACAGAATACCTTTACAAACTCGCTTAAAAGACAAACTTATTTTAGATTTGTACTTTCTAGGACGTGAAAACTTGAAATGTGGTCAGATGTAAACAATGAAGCTAATAGGAAACTTGGAGAAAGAAAGATCTGAAACTTGCCTTCTTCCATGATTTCTTGCTCCATCTAACTTTAAAAGAGTCTAAGTCATCAACAACCCATGGTCGAGGGACAAGATTTTGACAACTAGCTAAGAAGGACATTCCATCCCTTGAAAACACCTCAGCAAGCTTCACAAAATCAGACAGGAAAAAAGACAACATTAGAGGTAGAGGTAGATAACCAGACCTTCAGACATAGTTTGATAGGTAAACCTAAAAAGGTGGAAACGTCCAGTGACTTTTTACATGGCATCTGTATCTTTAAGGAAACACCAATGCAAGAACTACCGTCCTCAATTATAGACACAATTTAAAGCAACCGAGAAGATGCTCCTGGAGTTTGTCAGAGCTATGTAGTTATTTCAAAGCATTTCTTTCTATTTTTTGGTTGAAAGTATATTCAAGGCATTACCACAACAACCAGGCCATGTTGAGACCTTCTATCAACTTGTATGTTCTCTCTGCAACTCTCTGCATTTGTCTACGACTACATATATACCTCTCAATAATATATATAAAGAATCATTCTGTAATTTCAGAAATCACACATCTGATCCACATTTTTCACACAATAAGCAAAGATCAAAACGTGCAAACTGATTGCTGATAAGTTCAAAATGTTTGATCTTCAAGTGCCAATGTGGGGTAAAGTATAGTTCATATCTTAAACATGGTGTAACAAATACTAAATACATAAATTTTCGATAGTACAAATAATAACCTGTGCAGAACCGAGGTCAAATATGTTCCCTGCAAAAATTCCCCGAGCCAGATTCTCCAGCCGCTTTGGTCCTTCTTCAAAGGAATCATTAAGACGGATCACCTCTTTGAACAGAGATATGGCCTTAGCATTCTCTTCATCCTGTTTAGTTAAAAAAACTATTTGAATGTCCAGGCACCAACACAGGAAAAACCTCCCAAACCCAATGGCCACCCATAAAATGGAACTATAAAACCCCAACCTCTGACCATGAACAGTTATGAAGACTTAGATTGCACTGACACTCTGCTACCAACTTTAAGTATATCATATAGATTTTTCTCAAAATTGCAGCATGAAACCAATCAAGTAACGTGCAAGAGCTCGCTCAACGCATACCTTGACCTTCTTGAATATGTCCCTAAACCCCAATTCTCTAAGGATTTGTTCCCGCAATCTACAGAGAAGCTGCATTCTCAAAAATGAAAGAGAAGGAGGAAGATGATATAATCCTCAGACAGCACGATAAAGCTCATAACAGCAATTGGTACTGCCATGGCAGAGAGAATAACGAAGCCATAAATTAGTTATACATACAACGCAGTCGGGAGGGCCACCATGGCTTTCTGGATCTTTCTTAAAGTCCTCGAGTATCTCAGAGTACCTTTAAACAGTCAATTCAATAAGGTCGGGAGAGCTTCTAATAAAGATAAGTCACTGCTTCAACAGTGCAATGCTGCTAAAATGCATAGGAGCAACCAGACTCCAGCCTTTCTTTCTCCTTTCTAAAATCCTTACACGGTAATACAAAGGAATAAACCCAGAAGAGTGCAAATCTTGAGCTTTCTACTACCCATAACGGAGAAAATGAGGGGTGTGGAAGGGGACAGTAGAGGCGTCTACCTTTGAGCAAACTTTTCAGCTCTGGCAGCAGAATCGGACACTGTGTCATCTGCTTCAGCCCGTTTCCTGCGTTTAACAGAGAACAGATTCTTTCCAGTTGTCAACAGTTGAAATAGGTGGGGTTTCAATTCGAATCAGTATTCGTCGATCGATCTTCATTAAGAGAAAGAAAGGAAGAACAAAGTGATTACTTGAAAGAAGGGATGGAATTGAGGAAGAGGTCGATCCACTGGAGCTCAGTAGGAGTGGCCTTTCGGGGATTGTCAGAAGGGAACCTGTAGGGAATGGTGCATGCCCTGTAATTGGATTCGATCGGCGTCAACAGCAAAGGAAACGCCACCATCTCCGAATCGCTCTCCATATAGCTGAATTTTTTTTCCGTTCTGACAACCGATTGGAAACCTCGACGGACAAGGCAAGCCTTCCAATCGCTAATTGTTGCTGCTTAGATTCAATTCAGATTACTCGATTGCCGAGCGAGTTGTTTCTTCTTCCTTGATGATGATGATGATGATGATGATGATATTGATATCGAGAGAGGGAGAGGGAGAGGGAGAGGGAGAGGTCAGAGGTGCTTTGCAAATAGCGTAGCGTGAGGAAGCTGCTGTGGCTGGCTAGTTGCTACTTTGCGGCCCACTCCTACTTTCTTTCTCTTTTGTTTGTTCCTCTTTTGTTGGTGCTTGTGGTCTGTTGTGAGTCCGAAATGAATAACCGAACCGATATTTTGTAGCTGATCGACGAGGGAATTGATACTGGTCTATTGGTGCAACCACGGTCCACGAGTCGAGCTTTAAATTTCTAAAGTCAAAGCGCACTTACTCTAACCGTAACAACGACAAGTATATTGATGCGAGGCTTGTAGTAAAGTGGATGGTCGATTTCAAGGGAATCTTAGACTTACTATTACTTTGCTCTGAACTACTATCTACTCAAATCGGAAGGTTGGGGGTAAAACTAACCTAACCTAACTAACTAAACAACCAACCAAGTGGTTGGGAGACCTCTGGAGAGGAGATGGTTGTCTAGGATCGAATCCCTCTAGCTATAGGTTGATATGGGCGATAATCTAATGGTACTTTGGAAAAAAGGTGCGGAGGTCACGAAGGTGGGGATCGACTCAATGGTCATGCAATTGATCCCCTTCCTAGCTAGGTGCAACGATCCAATGTCTCCTCAACCGGTCCACCTAACCAAGGATGGTTTCTACCTCCTCTAAACGGATTATATCCTTCCGCACACAAATCAGGTAAGTCAATGGTCGCGCACTTAACCGACAAGCATCAACTAGGTGAGAATCTAACTAGAAGGGGATGGTCACCTCGACCTATAGCAAGATCTATAGGTCAACCAATCAAGGTAAGAAGCATTCACTCACATCTAAACACCCTAATTAGAAGCATCAAGCACTCTAGCTAAACCCAATTATACCATAGATTCATGTGCAAAGTAATGAAAATTTCCCTATCATTTAGGTTGCAAACAAGCAAATGGGATACATACAATCCTACACTAATTGATGTATGCCCCAATCTAGACCTAAGGGGATGTTTATCTCTCCTATGTCAAGTACAAATCAATCACGTTAAAGTAAAAGATTCTCGTGCATAAACATCAATTAGGCATAGATTATAGGTTCATAATTATTCATACACATGGCTCATAAATAATCTATAAGCTAGGGTTCATCTTCCCTAAACAACCTTAAGAATTAAAGTCATAGTGAGAGAAAAGAAATACAAACTAAGAAGAGGGGAAATGCTTGGAATCATCTTCTTCTCCTTGGAACCTTAGGAATTCAAGTCATAGTGAGAGAAAAGAAATACAAACTAAGAAGAGGGGAAATGCTTGGAATAATCTTCTTCTCCTTGGATTGCACCTTCCCCTTCATCCTTGGATGGATTTGACCTTTTCCAAGCTCTCTCAAGGTGTTTATCTCTCTAGAAACTACCAAAGAATCATAATTTCTCACTCTAGGTCGGCTCTTCTTTGTCAAGTGTAGAAAATGAGGTATTTATACAGTTTATGGTGCATATCACGGCCTCAAGGGCGTGTCCCGATGGTCAAGGTCGTGACTTGGGCGTGATCAGGTTGTAACAAGCCAAATTGGCGCCGAATCGCCCGAAACTTTGTGTCCTGTCATCATCTTCAAGTACCGAGGTCGCGGCCTCCATCATGAGATCATAGTCGAGAGCCGGGTGTCAAGACTTTCACTCTTGTTAGCTGCTTGCTGAAGTTTGTGACTACTATTCACGGTTGTGACGTGGCCGTGACATGTGTTTTTTCTTCCCTTCTTGCTCCTATGCTTCTCAATTAAGCTTGGACGAACTCCAATCGATTCCCAATCAATTGTAAATGAACATAAGACCTAAAATTTTATCACAAACACACAAAAAAAGCATAAAATAAGGCAAACTGGGATCGATTTCCCCATGAAAACTTTCATATCAAGCTAACCCTTGCAAAAATTGATGTTTTACAAATATGAACGAATATAGGCCTAAACTAGCTTGATATGTGGAATAGACATGGTGATTAGCACGCAAATGCCTCGAGAATGAGGGCTAAGTAGCACCTATTATAAATGTTATCAACTCTTCCACACTTAAGCCTTGTCCCCAAACAAACCAACTCAAACAGGTACAATTTGATAAACAATCAAATTGGTATGCACTATATTTCATCGGTTTCACTTTCAAAGATAATAGGAGTCGAGAAAGCGTTACTTCCATCTCTTCGTGACAACACAAACTCTCAGATAAGGACCTTGTCTACTAAAGAGGTTTAGACATTTAACGTGTGCACCGGGGGGACTCTCAAGAAAACATGTGCAAAGCATTGGACTCATTGGTGGTGCTCTTATTATTTTTTCTAAAGAGGATTCAAACTTTGATCCTTAATTTCACATTGCCAAATATGACACCACATTTTCTATTTTTGCAAATAAGGATTCTCTCCCTCATGGCTAAGAGCAAAAGTACATTGACTTCTCTATCTAAGCCTCATGTGGGGAAAGTGATGGTTGAGAGAATGGAATAATGTAAAAGGTGAAGTGTTGGACGTTAGTCCGCTCTTTCAAGCACCAATTCCCATCTTGCACTCCCGTCTCATCGACTAGGGGTGGACAATGGGTAGGTTGGGTGGGTTTTCCTCTCAAATTGACTCATCCACTTACTAGCAAGTTAGAAAAATTGTGACCCGCAATCCACCCACATTCTTCTACAGGTCGGGTTGGGTGGATGGCGGATGGGTGCGGTTGGGTCGTGGGTTAACCCGCAAAAGCAATTCTCCAACTAGCCATTAAGAAAGTTGACTAATATTTATAATAAGCTCATAACAGATTTGGAAGACTGTATCAATTTAGACACTTCTCACTTTGTCTCAAGTGAGTCCATGTAGTATTTGCACCAAAAATTATCTACTCTATCATCCAACTGTGTAGAGAAAACTTACGCATTTTGTGATTCTAATGTAATTAATAATTTATAGTTTTCATTTCAATATTTAATGAATATTAACAATATTTTGCATTCCAATATCCAATATCTAATCGATATTACACAACACAATAACCAATAATAATAGTTAAACTATTCTTTATTCTCCACTTTTAGAAGTATATGGTCATACTATAGTGCGGTTCGAAAATATGGTGAATATTCGATATTATAAGAAACAACATTTTTTTCATATGAAAACAGGATGCAGGTCATTCGGGTGACTCGCAATCCACCCACCCACATAAGTGCGGGTGGCAGATTTATCAATCCGTAATACACCCACATCAATCACCCACTGCTTGCGGGTCGGGTTATTTGCGGATGGATTGATATCAATCTGCGGATTGACCACCCATGTGGCCACCCGTATCATCGACAAATAGGTTGCCACAAATGTGAGTTACAAACGAGAGCCGAGGTCTCTCGACTTGCATAAAGGAACACTATCTCCTCTCATACAATCTCGTGAGGAGGAGCGGTGTAAGGAAAATGGAGTCCCCAGACACATCCTCAAATGAAACTCAGGACCAAGAGAAAAGCCTTTGACGGCTTAACTTAAACACTATGTATGGCTGCCTCTCACGTGAGAACACTCAATTTTCAAAAGTTTTTTCCCCCAAATTGAGCACGTTTTTGCAAAACATATTGACTCCAAGATTTGTGTGTGGGGGGGGGGGGGGGTCCCGCACACATGTCATAACCGCGATAGTAAACAATGTCAACACATTTAAGAGGAAATAGAAGTAAAACCCCTCATACACCAATAAACATCGTAGTGTTACACAACTCCCTATACCGCATAGTGGCGCACACCATCTCAATCGTCTAACAATTCAAAGCACAATGAGTAGGTGGATGCATAGGAGACAACTTGGAGCCCTCAAATTTAAAAAAATTTGGTCATGCATACAAGGCTCCAAGTGGTCGGATTATTCTAAATCATAGTCCACAATCACTCTAAAAGGCACACTTTATCTCCCTTGTTCAAGCATTCACACATACATAGCACAAGAGAGCACGTTCGATAACAACATTCCACACAAGCATTTATGCACAACACCCCCCCCCCCCCCCACACACACACTTAAGGAACACATTGTGCCCAATGTGAGCACGGGTGAAGGATAGAGGAACGCTCTGCCCAAAAAAAAAGGATAGGGGAACGAGTTTACCGATTTGTCGAAGTCGAGTGATTGTAGGATTGCAAGGTAGGGTGGGTTTGATCTTTGAGAAACGTCCACGAGAAAAGAACTAAGAAGAAAAGAGAAGTCACACCCACAAAAATAAAAATTGAACAACAAGTACTAATGATTCAAATAGAAAGTTCTAGTAAGTACTTACATAGAAAAACACACACAAACTACTAACATCCTACATAGATTATTATTCAAATGGAAAGATACAAGAGATAGGAGTAGAGCAATGGCCCTCCCAAAGCCTAGAAATCTCCTTTTGGATCCGGTCTCTTGACCTCTAGGCGATACTTCTAATTGTTGTTCTTACTCACTACTGTCATGCTTGATTGGTATTGACAAGAGACACTTATGTTGACCCTCCTTAGATGATGTCGTGCTGGAGCCGAATGGACAACAATGGAGTATACACTGATATACCTCAATATTATTGATGCCCCAAAAATTCATCATTTAAACCAAACTTAAACAAATTTAATCAACATAGTTAAGTTGGTCTTATAAACGATATCTACTCATTGCATTTAATCGGTGTTATATTCAATTCTTTTTAGTGGCAAAGTATAGCATTTGAAAAGCCAATTGGAGATCTGTTGTGCTAAGGAGCAAGGAACGATGATGCCGGCGAGCGGCAGCTAGCGATGCAGTGGAGACATGATCTTCTTTTTTATTTTCCCGCTAGTGAAACCGTACCGGATATCATACCGAAAAAGTCAGTGGTATAATATTTTATGATAAAATCGTGATTTAACCATAGTTCAACCGTTAGACCGTTAAATACGACCTGCCGATTTAGCTTTCAATACTGATATTTCGTGGTTGAACCGCCGGTACGATTTCATGGACCATGCTTTTTAGCACTTGAGATGCAATCGTCTCACATATGATGTCACCGATATTCAATTCTCCAGTAGAACGAGAATCAAGTGCAACAAATAACCCAGAGACCCCTCAAACATTTACAGTGGCAGCGCGTCCGAATTGAGCCCAAGGCGTAAAATAAAACTATATGCTACTTGCACTGCAAGGATTCCTACGGGACCTGATCTGACCTGGACAAATTTCTAGTTAAACAGCATCCTTCCTTCCCTCATTTTTTGGCCTTGGAGAACCTCAGGCAACGATATTTCTCCCCGCTCACAGTTATTTCAAGGGCTCCATCTTGATTATCTTGGTTTGATGCTGTTCCCATTAGCACGCTTTTCTCTTTCTCAAGATTCTCCTTCTCCATCTTCAGCCTTGCTTCTTGTCTTGCTATTTCTGCCTGCAAAGAGAAAAGAGGGGGAAAAAAACAAAGAATGCCAAAGGTTTAGAGCTGACAACGGTTGCCACATACCACAAAGCCTGATGGCACAAGCAAAGTCTCAAACGAAGATGCATTCAGTTCTCACGCACAACAACTTATCTTCACTTTTAAACTTTCAAAATAAAGCACATGGGCATTGCTTCGGAAAACATTTGGCGATATGATACATAAACATAACAGATACAGCAGTTACTAAGGGAGAAGTGACGGTATTCTGTGATTGATCAAAGCCCTAGAACAGTGCAACAGTAAGAGAATGTTCTGAACCTTTACCCGGTTAGAAACACTACAAAGATATACACAGAGCCCTCGTGCAACCTGCAAACCCAACTATTCCAGCATTCACTTCACTCCACTAATTGGGTGAGTTTCAAGACATTAAAAACAAGAGTTGCACAGAGTTTCAGGTGGCTCTAAAGTTCACGACCACAGCTCTTAATCTACCCACGCATATTTACCTCTGAAAGGGGGGACTTTGTTGTGCACTATTTTCAGCAAGAAACACATGCAAGAGAATAGCACATTGGAACCTATTTTCCAGAATACCCTGACAAGGATTTAATAGGGGTAGGGCAGCTTGAATCGGAGAACGGAGAGGCCTGCCTAGTCTCAGCGCTCACTAACGGAAGGCCTGCCTAGTCAGAACCCGAGGAAAGCCGCTCACTAAAAGTGCCAAAACAAGTTCTATAATGCTAACAGTTAACTCGATAAATATGCACTCGACAATGAGAAAGCCCAGACACGGAAACCCTCGGGATTAATTCAAACCACATAGCCATACTCAAAGTAAAGTGCAGGAGAACATCAACTGCCACACTAACTCAAACACAGGATAACAAATAGCCCACAATTGCAGTTATCTAGTCTAGAGCAGGCATCTATCCTTGAATGGCCTGTGCCATCAGTAAGAACATCCACCATTCTGACATACAGATCAATAAAATAAGAAACAAGGCTGATCAGTTCCTCGGCATATATCCATAACCTTCCCCTTCTTACCACTCAAGATGATATGGATCAACATACGGTTGCATTGCATCTAGGGAAGGCCAAAGTCGTGGGTGCTGAGCATGAATTATCATGAAATAAAAAGAGCCCAATAACATGCTTCCGGCATACAAAAATCTGAAATTACAGTGGGCAAGCAAGCGGGAAAGTGTACATGAATTGAGAGGCAAGTGAGGTTTACCTCCCGGCGAGAAAGCTCGGCCTTCCAAGCAGCTTCGCGCTCCGCAACCTCGCGCTCGCGCTCTTCGATGTAACTCTGCATCTCCCGCTCCTTCATAATACGGTCTTGAATGTCGGCGTCCAGTGCTTCTTTCAGCTCCTGCACGAATTTGTCCACCACCACCTTTATCCGCAGAGACATCCCTTCCCCGCCTTCCTCCTTCCCCTTCAATTGATCTCTCCCCTCCAATTGGCTAAACCCTAAACTCTAGAAAAAGAAAACTGCTGCTTCACAATTTCAATCAAACATTCGGACCTGTTCATCCCCGCCGAAGGAAACCAAACAAGGATTCCCGGGACAACGCCATTACTTTACGCCTTGTGACTCTGGTTTTCCAGTTTACTCAACTCGCGAAGTAAAGAATATTCGAGTGGAGAAGGAAGTAGGCGAGGCGACGGAGAGAGAGAGAGAGACCAGACAATGTGGCGATTGAGAAGCAAAAATTAAAATTGCGTTTGAGCAACGGACAATACAGCTTTGCAACTTACTAATTTCCAGCCCTCCCAAAAAGCTGTCGTTTATGTGAATTAAGCAATCGACGTTACTAAATACGTGTCGACGGTTGCCTCGACGGAGCGAGTTGTGAGTGGAAATCGGTATAGTATCGATATCCCAATATTGAATATTGAAATTTCGAATAACGAATTACATACTAAAATCAATTCCAATCCCAATCTCTAAATAATTTCGGTATCTCAATCTCAATCTCTAAATATTTCGGTATCCCAATCGGTATTATCAAATATGAAATTAGTTAAATTTATAATTTATAATTAAATATATAAATTAAATTTGATTGTTTAATTTAGAACAAAGAGACTAACCAAGGAGTTGGAGTTTGCCTAGAGCTAGGACATTTGATTGTTTAAGATTAGCTATTTCCCATACAACTTGCCGATCGCGATTTGGAGATGAGAAAACTGAAGCTACATGGGTAGCAATAATTTCTCCATTTCTTGACCTGCTTTTGGTGGTTGTCGCATGCTTGTTCTTCGCGCAAATTGATTAGTAATTGTGAATTGAGAGAGGCGAACTGGGAGAAGATACTGACCTAAATTTTTTAGTGGAATGAGAGTAGGTGTGGCGTGTGGATTGGCCGCTAGCTGTCCCGTACCAGACGTATGAATTTTCAAAGTCCTAAAGAGTATCATTGGGCTTTGATTGTATGGGTCGTTAAAATTTGGTAATGGGTTATGAATATTTCAGTTGGCAATTAAGGCCGGTAAAAAATGTGTGAGGAATGAGGAGAGATTAGTTTAAAGGTTAAAATGCACCATTCTTTTATATTATTTTTCGGTATTTCGGTATATATCTATACCAATCTCATAACCCCTAATACCAAATTAAACTTGAACTTCAATCCCAATCTCAATCCCATGAAAAAATTCGTGTATTCGGTGATACCAAATATCGACAAATTTGGCACGGTATTCGGTATATACCAAATACCGATACCAAACTTTCAGCCCTAATTACGAGTATGGTTGTCCAATGGGGTAACACTTGGATGGATCCACGGGTTGATCCGGGTGCCAGGTGAGAAAAATGGGGCCACACATTCATGGATAATCCGCTGTAAGGTTCCCGTTTCTGGGGTTGCAGATCATCCTACATCGTTTTTTTGTTTGCGAAATGTCGTCTTTTCTTATTTTTCTTTTCTCCTAACTCTATCTTTGAAATTCTAAATTAAACATTTGAATAGATGTTATATAAGTGTGTTTGAATTTTCACTATATATTGGATTCAAATATAATTTTCATTTAGTGTTAAAGATTTCCCACTTTCTAATATATTTTGCTAAAACCGACATGAACTGGTATAAACTGGTTGTACCACTAGTTGGATCATACTGGCTACTTGCTATAACCATATACAACAATTAGGAAATCTTGATTACAAGGAGTAAAACGATGAAACAGATCACCGCAGACTATTCCCAATCTTTATCGCCTATCTCGTTGCAGTGTTCGAGTCCTTAGTCGCTGTCAACGTCTCATCAACTTCTTTGCTATCGAAGTTCACCAATTTATGTTATCAATAAGACTTGCCCAGAGCGATGATAGCTCTGGACGCTTTGAAAACCTATGGACTCTAGACCCTCGGTCGTCTATTCCGACCTTGTCAAATGTTGCTAGTCTTGTCACACTGTCCCTCTAGCTCTTTGCTTCAATCTGACCTCTTATCTTCCCCCAGTCTCCCCATGCCTTCATTCTCAACACGTCTCTCAACATATATATATATATATATATATATATGGGGAGTTCTACGGTACCCCGGGTGAAATCCGGGGTACCGCATACCTTGAGTATGAAAACGCTATCTAGACCTCGAATTGACTGATCTTTCGGACATTATACTATACTCTAACCCATAAAGATCAAAATCTAGGTCTTAATTCTCTAAATCTTATACCCCAAGATTAATTTAATTAGAAACAATAATCGACGGTTATGATTCGTCCAAATATAGGCAAAAAAAAGTAATGCACCATCTTAGGGTTTATAGTTTATGATTTAGATAATTAGGACCTAGGGTTCACTCATTAAGGGTTAGGGTATAGTATCATGCCCAAAAATCCTGCTAATTCGAGGTCTAGATAGCGTTTTCATACTCAAGGTATGCGGTACCCCGGATTTCACCCGGGGTACCGTAGAAGGCACCATATATGTATGTATATATATATATATATATCAAACTTCATCTCTTGCCTTAGACTCGTTACCCGTTGCCTCAGAGAAATGTAGCTGGATGACCATGATCTTTTCAAGCTAACGTCCCTGGGCTTTCCTATAATGCTCTCCACTCATCGTCTTCATGCTCCACCATGATGTTGCGTCCAACATACTTACATAATATTCCATCTTGAAGGTTTGTGGTTGCATCCCCAACATACCTCTAGTTTTAACGAAACCCAAACTTGTCTTTACCCACACAAGTCTCATTTCTTCTTATTCATCTTCCAATAAGAAAAGAATGTCGACCAGCTCTACCTCCTCGTTGGAGTTATCATCGACAAGCTCTCTTCCTCTCATAACTCATCGGAGGTTACCACTGGCAGCAAGTGACCAACAGCTCAATCCCTCCGTCCATTGATGGGTGACCATTGGTTTAATCCACCCACCATCGGCGGCAATTCCCTCTCCCTCTAACTTTTGTGATGTTCGAGCTTCTTCACCATCCCTCCAGATCCGACAACCGTCTCGCGAAGAAAACTAGAGATTTCGACGACATTTTCTTCACCCTCCCTCCAGATCTCTCGATGTCTTCTTCTCCCTCTAGCTCCACTGACCATTTTGCGAACAGAGCAAGAACACCGCTGTCATCTTCTTCTTGTCCCTCCAGCTCCTCCGACCGTTGAGCAAATAAAGCCACATTACCTGCGGTCTTCTCTGATTCTGGTGAACAAGTAGTAGCGAGTCTGATGTTGGTCACCGCCAATGATTCTATGCTCGACGATTAAGACAAAGGAATGAAGGAGACGAAGCAAAATGAGTTAGAGGTTTTAGGCTCATGAATACATATAGGAAAAAAGGGCAAAATGGTATGTTTAGATTTGTCACGATAACATTAAATTCTTCACTGAAAAATTTCAAACGATTAAACAAACAAGTTATTTTTCTCAAATCATTTCTTTTTAATTTTCTATGGGGTCGTTTGGATGTAGTAAAATAATGAGGGAATTGGACCTAAATTCCAAGAAATGCAGCAATTGGGCTAAAAATCCACATTTTGCTGGACAAAAAGTGTGCGGTAATTGGGTGGGGGGGGGGGGGGGGAATCCCACATGCAGGATTTGACAATCCAGCAACCCACCCCCGTAATTGGACATTCCCGTATTTTATACCTTTACTCCCAAATTTATTCCTCACCCCACTAGCAATCAGGCCCACTACCTTTGGCTTTTGCCTACCATCCACTTTACCTTCTCTCTTCTTCGTGCTCCCCACTCTGCACCATCACAATTCACAACCCCTAATTATCTTTGCCGCCGATTTCCTACTTCTCCTCATCGGATTCACTCAATTGGGTGCCGACCAAGAGTAAGCAACCAATGTAATTAAGGCAAGATATGCAAGAGGAAACAGAGAAGGTACCTAAAGAAAGAGGGAGAGCGACCACAGACTGAAGATGGATCCAGAGGGGAATTCACGAGGAACAACATGCAAACCTCGATTTGGTCGGAGCTGAGTGGGAGATTGGATGGAACCTACTCGTGGTTGACATAGCAAAGTAGAGCCCATGTCGGTGAGGGCTAGACCTGTTGTTTGACGATTCCTTCACCTAGGTTTTTTTTGTTTGAGCTCAATTTCCATGTTTCTGCATTACCACAACCAAACGACCCCTAGGTTTTTAGTTGAGTGATTTGGGTCCAAATATCTCAATACCCAAATCCCCATCCAAATGACTCTTATGTGTTGTTATTTTGAGTATTATTCACGATACACATTGTTAATAATATCCAATGTTTATTCAGGTTACATTGAGAAGTAATTCATGAGTCAGGAGCTACCTTTGGCTTAATATTATAGCATTTTCCTCTTGACTCTCCATTGTATTGTACTCTCCATGTGTGTGTTCCACCTTCTTCCTTATCATGTTCATGGCAATTTTGAAATAACTACAATGCCATAAAAAATATGGCGTTAAGAGACCCTCCTAACCCAGGAACTTATTTATATCATCACAAGGATAACCAACAAGACATGTAACAATTAAATATATAGTTTAGAAAATTTTATTCAAAAGGATTTAAGAGTAATGTTGTGTTTAGAAGATTAAGGCTAGAAACACACCTTCAAAGACTTTGAATTGCTAGTCTATCCGTTGATACGTGATATAGGGAAGCTAGTGTAGCGTCTATGAAGAATGTCCTCATCATGAGACTAAAGTCATTTGATATATATGGATACAATGTCTGTCATAATTTTTCATGAGTTCTTAAACTCTTCCAATGAGTCTATCTGCTTTAAAGAGTTTTCATTGCAGTGAACTATATCTTTATACACATTTATCATACATGAAAAGTGGAATAAAGAAAGGTGTTCTAGTGAGTGAAGTGTGAGTTAAAGTATGCCAATGTGCGAGGTAATCACTCATTCCATATGGGGGAGTGAGAAAGGTTTAGCCAAGCATCAGTTCGCGGTCGTACGTCGTTGCTTATCTAGTACAATACCCCACAGAATGAAGTGTCATTTGAGAATTGTGCTTAAAGGGCACGAATAGAACTTCTGACACTCCTCTTTAGCATTGCCCCTCCGCACAGATCGATGATAAAGAGTTAAACAAAGTCTTTATGTGAGTGCTAAAATGCATAAATTGTTGTTGCTCGGTCACAGTAGCTATGTACAAAAGTAAAAGTAAACAAACCTACTTGTCCTAAAAAGTGAAAATTCGGCATGCAA